GCTGAGAGAGGAGAAACGGGAGAGCGGGGCTGCCTCCAGTGAAGGCGGTCCGCGAGCGGAGAAGAGCGAAACTCATGCTCGAGTGAGCATTCCGTCTCAGCGAAAGAACAGTCTCTGCGTGGGGTCTGCCCAGACAGATGACATATTCATTGCTCTTCTACATCGTGCAAGTTTCCCTGCACGAGCCACACTCGCAGAGCGACATTTGCAACAACGTCGCTAAAATTTGCTCTTTTAGGGCTTACCTGCTAGAAATAAGCTCTTTTAGAATCGCCGGATGGCGGCAGGGGAAAACGGACCGGAACTGCTGCGTCGCTGTAGCGGCGGAGAAGCAGGTCAGCTGTGCTGAGAGGTCCCGATTCTGGCTGCGAAGGCGTGTCAATGGCGAGCAGGCTTTCAGGATCAGCGATGAGCATAGAGTCGTCGCTGAAGGAGAATAAATCTGAGAATCCTGTGGCGAGCGCCCGCTTATATAGCCAGATGCCCCGCCCATTCTGGCAGGCTTTGGCGGGCTTCGTCGCCATAGGCTCGTGCCTATGCTCGTGCCTCGTGCCTATAGCTCTCGTGCAGCCTATTTAAGCTCTGCACGAACCAATGGCCGTGCAGTTTCACTGCGTGAATGAATAGGCTTCAGTTCAGGAGAAAAAGGGCTTTTTTCCTATATGCGTCTAGCAAGATGCAGTACGAGTGAAGTATCGAAAGGGAACTCAAAAGTCCATTCAGCCAGGACTCCGACACCTGTACAACACCATACACAAACTGTTGCTCAAACGACCAAGTGCTGTTCTATGTTTACAGACTGAGTGAAAGAGCCACGGCTCCCCTGGGATGAACAGGCTCTAGAGGAGAGCAGGGCATCTGGTTGAGTACGCCTTCAATTCTCCCTGGGTCACTACCTGACATGATGCTGCAGCGCGCAACAGCTGTAACTCATAAATATGGATTTAAAAACAATAACAGTAGAATAATAAACATCACACTGCTAATATTTGTATTTCTGGATCACACATTTAAGTGTTTCTTTGTATCTACTGTAAGTTGATCAAGTCTGGCATACTTCTTTCTTTCTGAAACACAATTCCATGTTAATATGAGTGTTTCTTCTGGATGTAAGGTTTTTTTTTTTTATAAAGAAGTCTCTAATTCTAAAATACAGTAAACAGTAATATTGCAAAATATTACTACAATAAAAATGATTTAAATATAATATATTTCAGATATATTTAGAGTTATTAAAAAAGTAGATTTGACAAATAACACCTACGTTTTATTAAAACAGCATTTCCAACACAGAATGCTAATAAACTCAATACATAATCTGATGCAGTGGAAATAACACTGTGGTAGGAATGCTCAAGATTAGAGGTCGACCGATTGATCGGCCGGCTGATTATTCAGCCGATTTTTGGCATTTTTAATTAATTGGCATCAGCCAATTTTGCTGCAAATTAGGCCGATTTATAGGCAGGCGCATCTGCAGGCAGCTAAGCATTGCTGCGGAACACCGGAGAATCTCTCTCTGGCTGCGTGAGACATGGGGCAACTCACACTCTACAGCTGGTTCTTGTTCACACACAGCTTCAGCTAATGATGGCAGGGCAAAACAGACCGTTTCAAAAGCATAATTACGTTTTACCCTACTAGAATTGATGCCGGAAAGTTATCATATTCATAAGTGCAACAAGTCATTTGCATGTGAAAGTAGAAACACATGCAGTTCAGACGAAACTTCTGGGCTGATTATAACATGCACGTTAACTTTCCTCGTGAAATGTGTGTGTGGGTCCGACAATAGCATCCACGATGTCATCGCTCGTGGCCAGTGCACTCTAAGCAGTTATGAGCAGCGGGCTGTGTAATATGTGTGAACTCTTTTATTTTTGTTATCACTTGGCCATTTGACTTATAGCAGTGTCCAGTGTTTCCCATACATTGAGTAAACAGATTTTCCAAAAGGCTTATACTTTGTTGAATAAATTGAGCACTGCGCGTTTCAAAATTAAAATGCAGCGCAGGTGTTTTTATATGAATGTATCTTTGAAAAGAACTGACCGTCTTCAGAAAAGCTTCGGTGTCATTTTCATTTCGTCTTTCCTGTAATGCCTGATAAAGTAGCGTTTGTGAGCGCAGTGCTTATTTGATTACAGCTATTACCGGGGAAACCGCTATATCTCCCGCTCCAACAGCACCTCCCGCTGGCAGAGAATTAATTTGCAGTCTGTGGGAAACACTGGTGTCTGTCAGCAAACATAAACAAAAAGCATTCTTCAGAACTGTTTTGAGAAGGTGCTTAAGTTTTGAGCCATGTATTATTACTCTGAATTAGGCTACTACTACGATTACTATCTTGTACCGTGCAATAATAATTTACTCAAACTCACTTTTATGAGATGAAGAGGGGGAAAAAAAAGAAAACTGGCCAAAATATCGGCCAAAAAAATCGGCATCATATATCAACCATCGGCTGCCCTGATTTCTAAATATCAGCATCGGCCAGTAAAAAACCCTTATCGGTCGACCTCTACTCAAGATTGTCTGAAAAATGAAGTTCACAGGATAGCTCTTGATATACTTGATAAATACTTATGTGAGTTAGTAAATTTTTGTATCCAGGGATTTAAAGGCTATTTTATATATTAGATTTCAAAATCCTTTGTAAACCCATCAAAAACTCCACTTATATACCTGATGTTACATTATTAATGCTGAGCTGAGAAACAGTCTCAGAGCTCTTTAATGTGCTAGTCACATTCTTTAAAACATGATGGAAATCAAAATCACCATTATGAACACTGAGGAAGAATTAACACGAGTAGAAGAGAAGAGCTGATTTATTTCACATATGGAGATTGCTTTCAGTAGTTTAGAGAGTCAGTTTGGAGACAAAAGTAGAAATGGACCGAAAGAGGGAGGAGGAGAGTAATATTTATTCAAGGGATGGAGTTGTTGGACTTTTGAAGTGAAGAAAGGCTAAGCTCACAAGACCCCAGAGAATCAGATTCCCTTTAGGGTATTTTTATATCACGCTGAGAATTAACTAGTTACCGCTAATCAGATACTTTCCCAAGGTCTGTTCTCGACTAGGGTCTCGAAAATCAGATTATCGCAAAAAGAAAACAAAAAGCTTACAAAAATGTAAAATGGCACAAAACAGAAATGGCTATACAACTTGTAGCCACTGGGGACGCCACTGCGTCTCATTATTAAATGCAATAAATTACACACGCAAACAAAATGCTCTGAAGAACAAATTTGTAAGCAAACGGCAGAAGACGCCTTATGTCTGGGGAGTGAGAGCAAGTCAGACAGCTCAAGGAGGTAAATAATAGCCAATCATTGTAATGATAAGCTTTGGCTCTGGCGTTTAAGAATGACCATAAAAACATGTTTTCTTTAGTTCTCTTAGAGAATTATTCATTCATGTAACTTGTTCAGGCAAATTCACACCTTTTTGATTCACAACTATGACTTTTCTTGTAAATGTGATTCCATTGCAATTTTTGCAAATGTCTTCTTACCATATAAATCTTTTATCTAGCATTTGTTATTCAACATCTCAAAATTTGCCTAAAAATATGTCGATATAAACCTGGCTGATGATATTTTGCTCCTAAATATGATACAGTTCCCTCTTTCAATGTAAATCTATGGGATTATTTAGCTGATTGTGTTGTTCACTAGGTTAAAATTGCTTAGAGTAGTAATAATAACACATGTCACCCCAAGGAACTCCATGATTTGAGGTATCGGTCATGTCCATAGCACAAAAACCAACAGTTTAATACTATGGGCCAGATTTACTAAACAGAGCAAATTAGCGTTAGAGCTCATTTCCATAATAGCGCTGATGGGAGGGAAAATTCTGCGGGTGATTTACTAACAATGCGCACATTAAAGAACACAGACACAGCTAGATCATTTCCATAATGACCAGCGCAATCTACCAAGAGCAGCGCAAATTACCGCCTGCTTTAAGACATGCTTTTTTGGGCGTTAAATAATGGCGCAAATACCAGTAATTTGACGAGCGCAAACGTTAGTAAATCGCGTTGTGTGATTCATTTAAATAGTCTCCTCCCATAAATTTTGCGTCTGAAAGGGAAACTCCTACAAATGCATATTCAATAAGGTCAGGGGCAAAAATAACTGTCCACGCCTTTTCAGCGCTAATTCTTCAGCGCTAAGTCTTTAGTAAATCCTGACAGTACTATTTTAACCCCAAAAGATGGTTTGCGCTGGTGCAAGCTGTTAGTAAATCTGGCCCAAAATTGGTTGGTTAGTTAGTTTAGGACAAATCCATAATCCTAGCAATACGATATTGGGACAAAAACTTGGTTGTGCAACTTGGTCAATTTACCTTCATAAGTTCCACTTTCCAGCAAAGCTCCACTTCTCTCCAATTCCACAAACCGCTCAATGGTCACAAAATTGTAGTCCACTCCTGGAACCTCTCCTTCTTTAGGCTGCCTGGTTGTACCTACAGAGAAAAGAGAAAGGCGGGAGTTAGTTCAGGTCAACGAGCCCTCTAAGGGTTTGTGCCATGGGCTTAATCAGCAGCTAGAAAGTTCATCCAACAAAAAAAAAAAATGGGGGTTTATAGCAAAGCTCAACATGAGCCAAACAGAACAGGTGCTTGGGTAACTGGTTCACTTCATTTTTACAGAGTGCCACATATGCTGTCTGACAGTCTGTCAGACACAGAAAAGAAAACGAGGAAGGAAGAAAAACTAAATGTCAGGTTTTTGAGGTTTTAGGGTGAAAATAATGACGCAACCCCATTCATACAAAATGAAACATACAAGCCTGGAGAAATGGTGTTTTCCAAAAAAACTTGTTATTTTGTTGACAAAATTTCCATGAACTTCCATGAACCAAAATGTTTGTAATAATTAAGGACTTTCAATGTTTTCAAAAGACGTCTCATGCTCACAAAGGCTGCTTTTTTTTAATCAAAAATACAGCAAAACTTTATTATTGTGAAATATCATTCCAATTTACAAGAATTGTTCTCTATTTTAAAATATTTTAAAATGTGATTTATTCCTGTGATGGCAAAGCTGAATTTTCAGCAGCCATTACTCCAGTCTTCAGTGTCAAATTATCATTCAGAAATCATTCTAATCACTCTAATAATCATTCTCAAAAGAAGAAGAAATAATTTTATTCACCAAGGACACAGTGACAATAAAGACGTATAATGAGATTTCTATTTCAAATAAATGTGCTTCATTGAGCTTTTTGTTCATCAGCAATTATGAAAAGATGTATCAAAATGTATCTGTTTCAAAATTACAAAATATATTAAGCAGATTGTAATATTTTTACAGTAATAAATTACATTTTAAAACATATTAAACACATACTGTTATATGATTTTAAAAAATGTATTTGAATGGTAGTGTATGATCAGACTTCATGTCCAAGTCAAGTCTTATAGTAGCACAACTATAACGTTAGTTGGCATCCAATTTACTCTTGTTATGAGACTAGAATTCAAAATACAGTTTAAACTGGACCAGGGGTGCCTGACTTGCTGCCTGGAAGTCTTTAGCACTCCAAACGTTCTTGATTACCTGGTTCAGGTGTATTTAATCAGGGTTGGAGGTATAATAAGGAGCATAGGAGCATATTAAGGCATCCCTAAATAGGCCCTTTTCACATGATGTCACGCAACTTCCGTTCTAATGCGAAGCAGGGTATTCTTACTTCCGCCAGCATAGTAAGCGCTATCGCTACCAGCATGGTGTTCACCCAGACACTTGTACAACTGCTACAAATACGATTAGAGGATGACTGCTGCTGTCTATTCTCGTCCTCATTCAGGGAGAGGCGTCTGGCATCTCAAACGAACTTACCGAATACCGATCGGTGAGATTTGCCACTTGAAGTCGAGGGAGGAGTTGAAAACGGAGCACTGCAGTCACTGATTCCCGCGACTCTCGCGCACTGTTTGCTGTCTTTATTGCAGTTAGATGAAGTTGGTTAGATATATTTCTCAAATAAACAAACGTTTTAGACATTTACATGTGGTAACAGAAAGCCTTTTCATTCAGTAATTTATGTCCTGCTTAATACAGCGCCTGTATGTACAAGAATAGTTCAACATAAGCTTGTACTATTTAAATATCAATAAAATGGGGTCTATAATTTTCCGTTTTATTATTTAATGTAATTCAGAAATAAATATGACAGAAATATTACATATATTAAGTTTATATAAAAAGCTTTTACAGTTAAAAACAGATGCCAGCATTTGTGTAAATAAATATAAAACACAGGTCACAGCTGTTTTTTAAAGATTACATTGCATATAGCCTATAATGAAAATAAAATACGATCGATCATATTAATCAATAATAATTCAAAAAGTAAAAACATGGTATACATGTATTTAAAGCGAAATTGAATGGAGGAATTTCAGTAATTGTAGAAGTCCAAAGTTCTGTAGAACTACGCGGCTGTCCTTTTTGTATTGTTTCAATATTAAGCCATATTCTTGAACTGGATAATGAGTTTCTTTTCAGACCACTTGCCTTTATGGATGTGAAACTTGCCATGTAGTAAAACGATTTAATATAAAAAATATGACTTGCGTCCATGTCATTTCCCCATAGTAAATAAAAACAAAATCACGTTGTTTGTCTTTTTATTGCCCAACTAAAGGGGAATTTAATTTACACAGTGTACTCACAAATTATCCAAGGAATGACATAAACCGAAATAACAAGTGAAAAGGTTTCAAGTATGTATTTCGTGTGAACACATGATCGTTGTCATACAAATCTGAAAGCAACAGTTGCGGCAAGCAAGCCACCCATCTAAAGCAGATGAAGAAAAACGTTCGCAAAAGAACCCGACTGTAAGTACATTAACAGTATTAGTCTTAACTCTTAAATAACGCCTTTCATATTTCAAGTTTTTCCTACATTTTCCCGAGAAGTCTCCGGTGTAACGGTATAACGGAAGTACAGATACACTGCTTTGGGGAAAGCGGAAGTTAGCTGACGTCACTGTGAAAAGGGCCTATAGCCTAAGGTGGTATGCTGTGTCTTAGCTAGCCACAAAGTTAGTCAGGTTTGCTACTATAGTTTTAGAAGGCTTTTAAGCCCTCATTAGTTGCTCAGGGGTGCATTTCCCAAAAGCATTGTTATAGCCAACTATGGTTGCAGGTTCTGTTGAACTCTGTTGGTAATGACGGAACTTGCGACCATAGCTGCTTTTGGGAACGCACCCCAGGCTAGAATACCAGCTGGCCGACCAGATGAACACAAGCTTGGTCAGGTTGGGGGACCAAGCCTACAACAGCTAAAAATGTGTGGTGGTAAAATGCTTAATATCCATTTTTACTACTTTAAATATTAACAGTTTCCAAGCTATTTAAAAAGAAATCAACACACACCATCCCTCACCGAGCATACAATGAGAACAGTTCAAAGTGTATTTACATTAAGCAATGGGTTAAAATGATAAACTGAAGTGTTAATATATTTCTGTGTCCTGGATGTAGCTGAGCCGTAATTAGCCAGCAAGGAGCTCCAGAGTTTGTGCTAATTGCTGCTAGCTGAGAAAACACTGGGGTATTTCTAAACTGTGCATGTTAAGGGAGCTCACTGCGGAGAGTGCCAACAGTAAACACCTGAAAGATTCCAGGGTCAATGACATGATGCTCTTTTTTTTCAGTATCTATTAATTTATTCAAAAACAAATAAAAAATGCCATTTAAACATAGAATGATTTGAAACACACCTCTTGTCTGATAAGAATGTTTTTTATTTCTTTTTGATATTTTTTGAAGGGCATGAAGTAAAAAATGTCAGGGCGACAAAACTGTCCTGATATCATAATGAAAAAAAAGAAAGCCTTATTATAAAGAACGAAGTTCTTGATATAAAATCGTATTAAAAATTTTGGGATATCTTTTATTAAAAGGTCAACAAGTGCCTTAAAATTATCAGATATTTATATATTAGTGCTAATATATATATATATATATATATATATATATATATATATATGTAGAGATTGGATATAAAACGCGATAGTTTGGATCCAAAACGTGATAAACACCTTTTTTTTTTAAAATTGACTTTCCACCAAAATTGTAATTTTACGCAAAATGCGATATCCACGGAGTTATTCTGTCATGTTTTCTCCCTTTCTTTCCAAACCGCAACAAACACCAGTCTCCCTTCTCTGCAGAATGCGATATATCCGCTCAACCAATCACAGCGCACCATTCCACACATTGTAAACAGTAACTGACAAGCTATGCAATATCGCGTTCATAATCGCCTTTGATTATGAACGCGATATTGCGTAGCTTGTCAGTGAACAACAGCTCTGTGTATGAAATGCCGCTCCATCTGAAAGCCCTATATATATATTAGTGCTGTCAATCGATTAAAAACGAATTAATTGCACATTTTTATCTGAAAATGAATCACGATTAATCACAATTAATCCCATCTAATATTAAAGTTTTTAAATATATTTTTATATTGCAATAATTTCACATTCAATCTTCAAATTAATGTAGAAACAATATAAAGAAAGTATATTTTTAATATTTGTTTCATGCCACCTTTTTTCACTGAAGGCAAGTATCACTGATACCAACTGATATCTCAGTAATTTTCCTAATATTTATCCATTGACTATAGTCATTCAACATTCAAGTATCAAGTAGACATTACAAATTGTAACTTTATCAAGAAATATTTTATTTGATTCAACATAAAATTTATTACACAATCATTTAGGCTACAAGGGCCTAACATAAACTATGGAACATAAAAGAAGATAATTTGAGAAACATCTCAGTATGTTTTGTTCATACAATGAAAGTCATTAGTAACCAAAACGGTTTTGTTACCAATAGTCTTCAAAATACCTTCTTTTATGTTCCACAAAAGAAAGGCTTGAAACAACATGAGGGTGAGTAAATGATGACGTAATTAAAATTTTTCTGTCAGCAGGTGGCCTTAAATGTCTTTCTGAGTCATTCATTCATTCGATTCGTTCGAACGGCTGATTCATTCAGGAAAGTCGTGGCCTAATGGTTAGAGAGTTGGACTCGTAACCCAAAGGTTGCGAGTTCGAGTCTCGTACCGGCAGGGATTGTAGGTGGGGGGGGTGAAGGTACAGCGCTCTCTTCCACCTTCAATACCACGACTGAGGTGACCTTGAGCAAGGCAACGAACCCCCAACTGCTCCCCAGGCGCAGCAGCATAAATGGCTGCCCACTGCTCCGGGTGTGTGTTCACGGTGTGTGTGTGTGTTCACTGCTGTGTGTGTGCACTTAGGATGGGTTAAATGCTGAGCACTAATTCCGAGTATGGGTAACCATACTTGGCCACATGTCACATTTGTTGTTGTTGTAATGAAGTAAATGGCTCTTTTTATGAATGGGCCTTTGAATCATTGGTTCACATGATTCGTTCAAAACGCGGATTCATTCAGAAACTAAACACTGCTGTG